TCAGTAACCACCAGAGGCTTGCCCTGATGACAGCGACCGGCGCCCCGCTTTGGTCTGGCGCCCCTGCTCACCTGCTCCACCATCCCACCATGGCCGACGCCTGCCAAGTTCCGTGAGTGGCCCCTGGTGGTCAGTGTACGTCATAGCAACCGGTTGTTCTGCCGTTTGGTCTATTTGCATATTAGGGTTTTATATGTATAGATAACCAAGATATGGAAATGAGTTAAGTGTCCATCGATAGATGAATGGATAAAGGAGATGTGGTAAATATATACGTATCCTATCTAATAAAAGAGAAACATGGTAATTAGCCATACCTCTGCTACCCTTCCCATTGGCTAATCAGGGCGATATGCAAATTAACTGCCAGCCAAGATGGCAGCCAGAAGCCAGGCAGCTTGAAGCGAACATGAGGCTTGCTTGCTTCAGTAATGGAGGACTCCAATGTTCCCCGCCTGCCTCTGAGCTTGCAGTTTGAAACATTGTTACAAATATAGAAGCTAAACAAAACCCCGGAAACCTGCTTTCAGCCAGCCGGGATCTCAGAGCTGGAGTTGAAACAGTGTTTCGATTATAGAACTCAAACAAACCAGATACCTGCTTTCAGCAGTGGAGGCCTAAGAGCTGGAGCCAAGCCTCAGAGCTAAAGCTGGCCCAGAATAAAAAAAGAAAAAAGAAAAAAAGGAGCGGTTGGGAGCTTCAGTCACCCACCAGCCTGGAAACAGCCCTCAGCCCCTCACCCAGACTGGCCAGGCACCCCAGTGGGGACCCCCACCCTGAAGGGTGTGTGACCAGCTGCAAACAGCCATCATCCCCTCACCCAGGCTGGCCAGGCACCCCAGTGGGGACCCCACCCTGATCCAGGACACCCTTTAGGGCAAACCAGCCGGCCCCCACCTGTGCACCAGGCCTCTATCCTATATAGTAAAAGGGTAATATGCCTCCCAGCACCGGGATCAGCGGAGCCGCGAGGCCTCCCAGCACCGGAATCAGCGTGACAGGGGGCAGCGCCCAAACCCCCTGATCGCCCTGCAGCTGTGTGTGTGACAGGAGGTGGGGCCACAACCTCCCTATCGGCCCTGCTCTGTTCCTGACAGGGGAAGGCGCCCCAACCCCCTGACTGCCCTGCTCTGTGCGTGACAGGGGACAGAGCTCCAACCCCCCTGATGGGCCCTGCTCTGGGAGTGACAGGGGTCAGCGCCCCAACCCCCTGATTGGCCCTGCTCTGTGCGTGACAGGGGGTGGCGCCGCAACCTCCCCATCGACCCTGCCTTGAGTGTGACAGGGGGCGGTGCCCCAATCCCCCATCGGCCCTACCCTGAGCATGACTGAGGGTGGCATCGCAACCTCCTGATCCGCCCTGCTCTGTGCATGACAGGGGCCGGCGCCCCAACTCCCCAATCGGCCCTGCTCTGAGCCCGACCAGGGGCTGCACCTAGGGATTGGGCCTGCCCTCTGCCACCCGGGAGCAGGCCTAAGCCAGCAGGTTGTTATCTCCTGAGGGGTCCCATACTGCAAGAGGGCACAGGCCGGGCTGAGGGACTGCTGGGGTCCAACCCCAGCGGGTCCAGGGGTCCCCAAAGGTGTGGACAGAGTCAGCAAAGAAGGAATGACATGGAGGCAGCGTTCAGTTGATCAGCAGCCTAGCCAGGATCTCTAGCCAGGATCTCCAGCCAAGTTCTGGTCTGGATCTCCAGAGAGGTTCTGCTTTAGATCTCCAGCCAGGTTCTGTGTCCATGTTCTCTTGCTAGGTTCTCCAGCCAGGTTCAGTCACCAGGTTCTAGTCAGGTTCTCTTGCCCATTTCTGTAGTCAGGTTCAGTCCAGGATCTTTTGCCATGTTCTCTCCAGCGAAGTTCTTCTGTCTCTAGTTCTGTGTGTTCTGTCTTCTTACATCTGTATTTATACCAGTTGATTCCAATCCTATCAATCTCTATTTCAAAGGTTAGGGCGTTTCTTATCTCCATTCCAGGGAGTAAAGATTATGTAGCTTAAGCATGATTGTTCGTAGTTAAAGTGATTAATTACCCACCTGGCACTTAGTTAAGAGGTTTTATTCCCTCCCTAACTTCAAGGGAAAATCCCTACCTGGGGAAACAACCTTTTTCAGAGACCTTGGTTAAAACACATAGTGCCAAGAAGGTGAGAAAACATATTAAGAACAGTATGCCATATATGCCAGGTCCTTTGAAATAGCAAGGATGGACCGGCTCCCGGCAAGGGACCGCCCCCCCCCGCCCCCAGTACACAAATTTTTGTGCACCGGGCCTCTAGTATGTTTATAAAATGTAATATTATTTAGCCTTGACAAATGAGGGAATCCTGCTATTTGTGATAACATGGATAAACCTAGAGAACTTTATGTGAAGTGAATAAGCCACATCCTGTACGATCTTACTTATATGTGAAATCTTAAAAAACAAACAGCACTGGCTAGTGTGGCTCAGTTGGTTGGAGAGTCATCCCGTGCACTGCAAGGTCTTGGGTTCGCTTCCCAGCCAGAGCACATACCTAGGTTTCGGGTTCAGTCCAGGTGGGGGAACATGCGGGAGGCAACTGATCTATGTCTGTCTGTCTGTCTGTCTCTCCACATACCTCCCTCTCTAAAATCAATAAAAAATAAATAATGAGCAAACATATTTAAAAAACAAAAACAAAACATACACACAAACAAACAACTCATAGAGCCAGAATATAATGGTGGTTACCAGGGGGTTGGGTAGAGGTTATGGGAAATGGGGAAATGCTGGTCAAAGAGCATAAGCCTCCAGTTATAGCATGAGTATGTTCTGGGGATCTAATGTACAGTATGGTGACCATAATTAACAGTTATTGTACACTTGAAATGTGCTAAGAGAGTAAATCTTAAGGTTCTTACCACACACACACACACACTCGGTAACTATGTGAGGTAGTAGGTATATTAACCTGACTGTAGTAGTCATTTCACAATGTACATGTATATCAAATCATTGTGCTGTGTACTTCAAATACATACAATTTTATCTGTTAATTGTACCTTGATAAAGCTGGGATAAAGAATAAACAGAATTCAACTGACTTAAGATTTTGAGAGGAGTAAAGTTTTCTATCTCCAAATTATCTATCTCAAAAAACTGGGGTACTATAAAAGAGTGGAAAATAAAATCTGCTTAGATGGGACTTTTTTACTAGTACATTTATAAACCAGGAGATGAAGAAACAAGTAAGAATATCAGAATAGTCGAAGTACCTTATTTGGAGAACTTGCCTTTTGCAGAGCAAACAACCCATACAATTTTAGAAAACACCTTTCAGATGTATTTCAAAAAACAATTGCTTTATATATATACTTATAAAATAGTATTTATTACATTCCAGTGTAGTTATTTTATGTAGTTACTAGAGGCCCAGTGCACAAAATTCGTGCATGGGTAGGGTCCCTAGGCCTGACCAATGATCAGGGTGAATCAGATTCCTGCCTACCTGCCTCCTCCTTCCCTCACTCCCTCAGCACCCCACCGCTACCACTGGCCACCCACCATGTTCCGTGCCGCCCCTGGTGGTCAGCGCATGTCACACCAAGTGATCGAACTCCCGGTCTCCTGGTTAAATTCCAGAGGGGACACTTTGCATTAGCCTTTTATATATATACTGAATGGCCAGATTATTATGACCACCTGAAGTTTGTAGGCAAATTAGCTATAATTTCGCACTGAAGTTGCTAGAGGGCTAGACCATTATAAATAGGGAAGCAGGTTGTTTACCACAACAGTAGAAGTGATTTTTTTCTGAAGAAATGGGTAAACAATGCGATTTAACAGCCTTTGAACATGGATATATATGTGTGTGTGTGTGTTTGTATATACATATACAAACACACACACAGTATATATAGATTTTAAAACTAGAGGCCCGATGCTGGATTCATCCAGGGCTGTGTCTGGCCCATCTCACCCAGTCCTGATTGGGGCCAATTGGGGCCATCTCACCCAGTTCTGATTGAGGCAGCCGGCTGGGGAGGTACCGTGGGAGGTTGGCCAGCCAGGGAGGGACCACGGGAGGTCTCCAGGGTGTGTCCTGTCTGGCCCGTCTGGCCCAGTCCCGATTGGCCAGACCCCAGCAGCAAGCTAACCTACCGGTCAGAGCTTCTACACCCTGGTGGTCAGTGCACATCATAGTGACTGGTCGAACAGTCGAATGAACGGTCAGACACTTAGCATATTAGGCTTTTATTATATAGGCTTTCTCTCTACTTCTGTCTTACCCTGTTCCAAGGGTAAAGGTTGTACCTTATACACTTAGGTACTTCCACCTACTACAGCAATTTTCAACCTTTTTCATCTCATGGCATACATAATTACTAAAATTCTATGGCACACCAAAAAATATATTTTTTGCCGATATGACAGATTCATTCACAGCAGATGGCTATTGTTGTGTTGGCTGTTGTAATTATTTTATTGGACAATCTAAGGGAAAAGAAGTCAGTGCCCCTGATTAGTCAGGTATTGCATGTTTTAAAAATTCTTATGTGCCACGGCACATTGGTTGAAAATCACTGACCTAGTCTATTATGTAGCTTATATTCTATAACAATTTATTGACTAAAGAACTTAGTGAAGAAGCCTACAATTTCAATTCCAAAAGAAATTAAAAAGAGGAACTAACTCAGGCCTTTATCTGGTTATCAAAATTGCAGCACCTGAATTAGTTAAGCAGATTTTTTCATAATGGATCCAGGTCCTGGCTCATCAAGATTAAGAAGTCTGGATTAAGGATACAGAAGGCAGAGTGTAAATGTGAGTGTGTCTGGAAGTGTATCTGCATGTCTCAATGAATTCAGAAGCATACAGAAAATGTTTTAAAATTATTACATTTAATATCTCCTTAGGCCTCTAATAGAACAGATAGAGAGGCAATCTTTGCAAAGAGTGGAATGATATGGCCAGTTCTATCAGAACAATTTTGCAAACTCCCTCAGAAAAATAACAAAGTAGAGGGCAAAGAGAATTTAACCTACCTCTCTCCTTGCAAAGGACGAAAAGGAATTCAGCAGCAATTTGTTTGACTCCAAGGTCAACATGTGTCATGAGGCGCACCAGCTTGTTTCTCACAGTTGAGCCAACTTCAGGTCGATTTGTCACATCCCTCAGTGGTGGTAAAACCTAATGGCACAAATGCAAAAATCATCATCAATCGTGGGTACAAGAGCAAGAAAGGATGACACCATGAAACTGGTCAGTCTTGTACTGTCTACTGAACCCAGTTTTGTAAGTGTGAAAAAAGCATTTAAAAAATAAACAGGTTTGTTTCCAAATAAAATAAAACTAAGCAGCAATAATAACAAACCTCATGCCTATACTGAAATTTTGTTTGAAGAGAAACATCTCTTCACTGTACCAGCTTGATATACTCAAATCTGTTTCTGAGCTTTACTCATCACAGCGCCTGGGACGACTCTGCTTGCCTGTATCAAAATCCATTTTAAAGTCTGGGTCAAGTTTCTCTTTCTTCCATGAGGCTTCCTTAATACCCTGACTCATATAGACTTTTCCTTTCTTTTAATTCTTGCATTTTCTGTTCACTAGAAAAAAAAAATCTGTACTTATGCTTTTAGTTGTTTTATTTTATAGTAAAAAGATTACTAATTATTACTTCCTATATGCTAGTTGCTGAAATTGATGATATACATATATTCTCTATAATCAATCCTTACCATCAACCCTATTTTATAGACTGAGCCTTGAAAGGCTTACATAACTTGCTTGGTTTGTCTGTTCTGCTCATTCTGTCACCCATCCGCCTACCCAGACTCCTCCTCTTCTGGTTCTCCTCTTATCTCACTGGTTGCTTTATCTCAGTCTCTTCTACTGATTCTCTTCTCTCCTGTTTTCTGAGTGTTGTAAAATTCAAAGACTGAGTTCTTGGGCAACATTTCTTCACTATTTTCCCAATTAGAGCTGTTAATGATCTCATCCAGTCTTATGGCATTACTAGAGGCCTGATGCATGAAATTCATGCAAGAGTAGGCCTTCTTTCCCCCGGCTGCCAGCACCAGCTTCCCTCTAGTACCCGGGACCCAGGCTTCCCTCCAGCACCCGGGACCTGAGCTTCCCTCGCAGCCCCGGTTTCGTCTGGAAGGACTTCGGTCTAATTAGCATATTACGCTTTTATTATAGACTAGAGGCCCGGTGCACAAAATCTGTGCACGGGGGGGAGTGTGTCCCTCAGCCCAGCCTGCACCCTCTCCAATCTGGGACCCCTCGAGGGATGTCCGACAAACAGGCAGTCGGACATCTCACCTGCCTGCCTGCTTGCCTGCCTGATGGCCCCTAACCACTTCTGCCTGCCAGCCTGATCACCCCCTAACCACTCCCTTGCCAGCCTGATCGACACCTAACTGCTCCCCTCCAACCCGATTGCCCCTAACTTCCCTCCCCTGCAGGCCTGGTTCCCCCAACTGCCCTCCCCTGCAGGGCTGGTCCCCCCTAAATGCCCTCCCCTGCAGGCCTTGTCCCTCCCAACTGCCCTCCCCTGCAGGCCTGGTTCCCCCCAACTGCCCTCCCCTGCAGGGCTGGTCCCCCCCCCAATTGCCCTCCCTTGCTGGTCTGGGTCCCCCCAACTGTCCTCCCCTGCAGGCCTGGTCCCCCCCGCCCCCAACTGCCCTCCCCTAGAGGCCTTGTCCCTCCCAACTGCCCTCCCTTGCAGGCTTGATCGCTCACAACTGCCCTCCCCTGTCAGCCCGGTCGCCCCTAACTGCCCTCCCCTGCTGGCCTGGCCCGCCCCCCCCCCCCAACTGCCCTCCTCTGCAGGCCATCTTGTGTGTTGGAGTAGTGGTCAATTTGCATATTACCTCTTTATTATATAGGATACTAGAGGCCTGGTGCACAAAAATTTGTGCACTGGGGGGTGGGGAGTCCCTCAGACTGGCCTGCCCCCTCTCACAGTCTGGGAGCCCTCAGGGGATGTTCTACTGATGGCTTAGGCCCACTCCCCACACCGCAGTCTGGCCTCCCTCTGTGGGAGGTGACTGGACAGATCAGGGGAAGGCACTGCCCCCATCACCCTGCTGCTGCTGCTGCCACTGCTGGCCACCGCGGCTGCCTGCCCTTGGCCCTTGCAGCTGCCGCGGTTGCCACCTGCCCTCGGCCCTCACAGCCGCTGCGGCTTTGTCCGGAAGGACGTCTGGTCTATCCGGTCTAATTAGCATATTACCCTTTTATTAGTATAGATGGTCTCTATATCCTGGTAGCTCCCTAAATTACGTCTCCATCTTGATTCCTTCCCTGGCCTCCAGACTTTTATAGGCCTCTCAAATTGAGCATGTCCTAAACAGAACTCTTGATGCTCCCAGCAAAGCTGTTTCTTCTATAGTTTTCTATTGCAGTGAACGGTAAGCCATTCCTCTGTCTGGTATAAAAACCTTGTAAATATCCTAACTCTTCTCTTTCACACCCACATCAAATCCATCTGCAAATTATTTCAACCCTACCTTCAAATATATTTACAATCCAACCACTTCTCACTCCCTTTCTAGTATTACCAAATGCAAGCATTACTTCTCATCTGGACTATTGCAATAGCTTTCTAAGTGGTCCCTGCTTCTACCCTGGTCCTTCTACGATTTATTCTCTACACAGCAGCCAGAATGCTTCTTTGAAAGTCAGAACATGTCATTCCTCTTCTCAAAGTCCTCTAGTTCTCCTGGCTTCTCACCTCACTCTTAGTATAAGAGAGAGTTCTTACAACTCCTTTAGGCTTCACATTTTCCAGCTTCCTGCTACTTTCCTGACTTGTTTTCTATTACTTGCTTACACTGCTACAGCCACACAAACCTCCATGGAACTCCTTAAACACATCAAGCACTTTCCTGCTTCATGGTCTTGGCATTTGCTGCTCCCTCTGCCCAGAAACTCTTTTTCTAGAAACCTACATGGCTTATTCCCTCACTTGCTCAGGTCTCTAATGTCAGTTATATGAAGACATTTCTTGACTATCTACATAATTAGCCTTTAGCCTCTCTTTTTAACCACCCCAATTTAATTTTCCTCACAGCATTTATCACCACCTGACACTGTATATCTCTATCTCTTTATTGCCTGCCTTCTATAAATTAGGCATTATGCTAACAAATGGGGATAGATACAAAGTCAAATAATAATTTACTGTGCCAGACCCTTTATGTGTATATTATTTTATTTAGTCCACTCAACTTATTTCCCTTCCTTCCCTCACTCTCTATATTAAATGCCTACCATGTATCAAAAGGTACTGGAGATACAACAGTAAATAAAAATGGAAATTAAGTCTCAGAAAATTGAGTACTCTACCCAAAAGGTTTACAGAATGCATATTTTAATATCTCTGGAAGGGTAGAGCACAATGCTCTTTGTGCACTATAGCCACAAAGTAATTGCACAATAAATTCTTATTTGATTCAGCCAACCATACTAAGTTTACCTCCTATTTGTAGAAGACTGAGAAATGTAACAAGTGATTTCTTGTAATATGTGCCTATAGTTCCAGAGTACAGAATCTATTAATAAAGATTATCACACAAAAATTTTGTTAGCTATATTTTAGGCTTCTTAAAACAAGTTTAAGTGAAATTTTGTTGTTTTTACTGTTTATATATGACTCTCAGACAAACTCCATTGGTATGGACTCTTTCTATTATCTCCCACATACTACCCTCCAATAATTTTTTTTTTTTTGAAAAATCTTGTCCAGCTTCTCTTTCAAACCCACAGCAGCCTCATCTCTTCTATATGCCTCTCCAGACTAACCCAACCTGGATCAGTAATTTTCTACCATCTGTAACTGTTCTTTTTCTACCCGCTCAAATACAGAATACTCAAGACCAATTTCCTTTGGGTATGCATGAGTAGGATTTAATCAGGCACTAACTGTAGGGCATAATAATTAATTAAGCATGGTTCCATTTACAATATTATCAAAGTTAATCATCTGTTCCTTTAAGTTCTACCTTTCTCGAACATCATAGATTATAGTCCATCTTCCTTAGAAGGAAAAGTGGATTTTTGTATTGTGCCTTGTGTCTTTAGTTAACTTTTACTTTATCTATACTGTAGTGTTTCTTTGAGAACAAGGGGTGGGCCTCATAATCTTTTGAATATACATGTGTAACCCAAGGCTTTCATATAAAGGAGCTGTTTAACAAATAGATTTTTTTTGGCTGTCTTGGTTATAGATAGAAAATCTAAATAGCTTAGTTATAACTGGATTTCCTATGTGAAAAAGCTGAAATGTATAAAACTGAATTTTCATTTATTCTTCTTCATCAAGTCCTCCTAGTCATGGTAGAATGTCTTACCATAGTCAAAGTTGGAAATGACCTTAATTCATTAATTAAGTAGTTTATTTTGCTTAAGTGATTATTTATGCTCTCATGATACCTCTCTCTTACTCCAATAGACTGCAAATCCCTCAAAGATAGACTCTCTACTTCCTCATCAGCAATAACTATTAATGTGCTCTATACATAGTCAAAGTGCTTACTAAATCTTGACCATAAACATACAGGGGGAAAATCAACCTGGTATATTTATTAGGAGATATCCTATATGGCAATAAATAAACAAGTAAGTGACTGGTGGTACCATGTACTGTAATGTGTAAAGAAAGAGAAGAAACAGGGTGGGAAATCAGGAGATTAGTTTGGGATATGTTAAACTTAAGATTTTTACTACACATCCAATGGGAGGAGATGAGTAGGCAGTTTGTTATTTAAGTCTGGAGCTTAGAGGATAGGTCAGGGCTGGAGATAGCAATTTGGGAGTCATAAGTATTTAGATGGTTTTCAAAATCATGATGCTGAATGAGATCAAAGATGAGTAAAAAGAAAAGACAGAGTATAGAAAACTCTTCTGAGGAACTCTGCACAAAGAAGAGCAGATAAATGGGGAGGCAACTTGCGAAGTGGGATTAAGGGAGGGTTTCTTTTGCTGTTATAATAGAAGATGTATTTGGATGCAGACAAAAATGATTGAGTACATTAAAAAAAATATCAGTGTAAGAAGAAAGAGAGGAACTAAATGCAGGAGCAAAGTTCTTGAGAAGGTGAGAGGGAAAGGGATTCAGGATAAAAGCACAGAGGCTGGCCACAGAAGAAAGCAGGGACAATTCAACCATGCGATAGAGGGGAAGACAAAAGATATGGTGGTACAGATGAAGTGATGGAAAGATTTCTTTCTTTTTAAAAAATATTATTTTTATTGCTTTCAGAGAAGAATGGAGAGGGAGAGAGATATTGAAACAGCGATGATGAGGGAGAATCATTGATCAGCTGCCTCCTGCATGCTCTTTACTGGGGATCAAGCCCGCAACCAGGACATGTGCCCTCACTGGGAATCGAACTGTGATCTCCTGGTTCATAGGTTGACGCTCAACCTCTGAGCCACACCTGCTGGGCAAAAAGATGATTTCTTACTATGATCTCTAACTCCTAACATCCTACTTCAAACCTTCATCATCAGTTCTCTTTGGGCTAGTATCCTCACATCTACTCATACTCTTCTAGTCTATCCTACATACAGTAGCCAGAGTTATCTTTAAATATAAATGAGGTCACATCATTCCCTTACTCCAAATGGTCCAATGCTTTCCCATTTCACTTAAAAAGAATGAAAGGTCCTATACACTCTTACGTTATTTAGTTCTTGTTTATCACTTTTACTTCGTCCATCACTCTCCCCCTTTCCCCTTGCACACTTATCTAGCTTGCTTTTCCTTAAGCATTCCAAAGCATCCTCTCTTCTTACGGACTCTGAACTTGTTCTCTCTGGTACACTCTTCTTCCAGAATATTTTCAGAGATCCTTTTCCTACTTATCAAGTTTCTGCTCAAATTTCATTTCCTCAGGGAGGCCTTCCCTCATTCCCCTAGGTCTCCCTTTCCCCTGCTGTACCTAACTTCAGAACACTTATCACTACTTGCCATTATGTCATTCATATATATATATATATATATATATATATATATATATATTTACTTTTTGTCCCCCCACTATAAGGTAAACCCCACATGGCGAAGACTTTATTTGTATTTCAATGCTTAGAACAATGCTTAGAACACAGCATATAATAGATTTCAATGAATATTTGTTGAATAAATGAATAAATGACAAAAAATACACAGGATCACTTATTTCTGGATTAGGGAGATTTCAAAGATTAATACAAACTTTTCTGAGTTTCTGACCTTGTGAAAAGAGAAAAAAATTATGAGAGAATTCAACTCATTCATTCTATGTTTAAAAAACAAAACAAAGAAAATTAACTTTAAGTTGTTATGTGCATTAAGCAGTTACCTGATCTTTGAGATATTTTCTGATGTTTCGATGGGCTCGGGAGCATTCTGTTAATAAGCTGAGAACTGGAGTTAGGCCCTCTCTGTAGCTGCTTCCCTAGAAAAAAAAGCCATACATGCTACATTAGTGTAGTTACTAATAGTGTTACTTTCCTCCATATAACTGAGCATGTTATAATACTCCTTTTTGAGGGGGGAACATTTTATGCTACCCAAGCTTTAAAAACCATTTAAAAAATTATTTTCCTAACGATATTTCCATGATTTCATCAATTAGCTTCATGTTTACTAAGGATTACTTTTATCCTTCCTGAATTTTGCTACTTTTTGTAGGATCCTCGCTGGCTTAACCAATGAGCTTAGGTGAGGCAAAGGCTTTGATGACCCACCAAACTACCTTGCTGCCCTTCAATATAGTTACCTGACAAAGCAAGTGATAGATGAGAGAAAATAAGCAACTCACAACAAATGGAAAGGTGGTGATTTTTCTTTTAAGGATGTCTTTTAGATAGTATAGAATGCGTTTATTATTAAGTTTTTTAGGGAGGCGATAATTTTTATTTCTAGGATTTACAAAACACCTATATAGAAAAGTAATTTTTCCTTTGTTTTTAGGCACTAGTCATAATTTTGGTGTTGCAGCAACACAATTTTCAGCTTTAAAGAAATAAATTCACTCTGTTTCATCAATTTATCATATATTGGAACAAAGTGCTTTCCAGAGTACAAATAATTATGCAAGGCATCAGCTATTTTGAAAAGCTTAGATTTAAAAATCATGTCCTGCGATGTTTGTATGTATGGCACATTTACATTCTTTATAAGCATTTTCCCAAGGCCTCCATTTTATCAGCCTTACCTTGTCTATTCTCTTCTCCATAAAACTGAGTAAAACATGAATGGCCTCCATATTCATACCATTGTATACCATGGTATTGTTTTTCAAAACTGTTTCTTTCTCAGCTGTTTTATCACCGGGCAGTTCATCTAGAGTCGTTGCCTCGTGGGTTGTTTCTTCATGTGTTAATGGACAAATGAGAACGTCCAAACAAGAGACCGGAACATTGCTTAAAAGGTTGACTGCATTGCTGAAAAGCAATTTAAAAATACAATGTTTTAATTTGATTGAATAGTCCTTTAAAATACAAACACAATAACAAGTTCAGAAATGACTTTTAGGAGTCAATTAAAATTTTTCTTTTTCAAAATAGCCTTTAATATTACTTGCGTTTATTAAGAGATAGAAAATAAAGAGAACTGTTTCAAATACACATAAGACAAACTAGAAAGAACAGATGTTAAATGGACACACAATCACATGATGTCATGTCACTTTCTGAAGTGCTAAAATAGGAATTAGTGAGCTTTAACACCAGTCTTCCATTTTATTATGACCAATGCTGCCTTTGCATTTTCTCCTTGGGGTTTTCAATCCTTTTGTGGATACACTGGTGTTTTATTATTCCTTAGATTACAACATAAAGCATTTGAAAAGCACTGTATATAAGCAGCTTATCACGGAGGCAACAACATTAAAAATCAAATATTATAAGATTAAGTTTGTTCTTTCTAGATGTAAAAAATACAATTTTTAGATCATCCCATTTTTTTGTAAGACATTTGCAGAAAATGGGTAATGGTGATTTTTCTTGCACTCTCATCACTGGTCTTTTTTAAAAAAGGCCAACACAGCAATTTTCTATATTGCCTAGCCAGTGGTAGGCAAACTGCGGCTCGTGAGCCACATGTGGCTCTTTGGACCCTTGAGTGTGGCTCTTCCACAAAATACCACGTGCAAGTGCACATGTACAGTTCAATTGAAACTTCGTGGCCCATGCGCAGAAGTCGGTATTTTGTGGAAGAGCCACACTTAAGGGGCCAAAGAGCCGCATGTGGCTTTCGAGCCGCAGTTTGCCGACCACTGGCCTAGGACAGTGGTCAGCAAACTCATTAGTCAACAGAGCCAAACATCAACAGTACAACTGAAATTTCTTTGGAGAGCCTAATTTTTTAAACTTACACTATATAGGTAGGTACATTGTTATTAACTTAATTAGGGTACTCCTAAGGCTTAGGAAGAGCCACACTCAAGGGATCAAAAGCCGCATGTGGCTCTCGAGCTGCAGTTTGCCGACCACGACCAAGGTAGGCCTTTCTGCTATATGTTAATGAATGCAAAAGCCTGGAATGCACACCAGCAGGGGGAACTCAAACCTTATATCTTTTGGTATTCCCTAAAAATCTGGCACTGTTGCTCAGTATACAAGAGATTAAAATGACACTAAAAATTTAAAAATTAGACATGTTCTCAATTAACATAGTTTCCTTCATGCACGATTTCATATTCTTTCATCTAAAAGGAGAAGCGGTGTTCTGTGCTAACTGGACCTTATAAACCTGTGTCTCAGAACTTCCTGATAAACAACAATGGAAAGACAGGCATTACATTTCCTAGTGACAGAGAAGCAGATCTAAAAATAGCCACATCCTGACTAAAAATAAACTCTTGCAAATGCAATTTAAAAGTCTAACCACTTGGAAACCAAATTCAGAGCTTAATCTATTTGATGCTGTCTTAATTTAGACCACAGTAGTTTCTTTTAATTTAGACTACAGTGACACTCTCAAGAATAAAACAAAATAAACAACATCAAAACAGAAATAAAATACAAGGATTTTTTTTCCTCTCCTTTACCCTGAAGTGTGGCTCTATTTCCCACAGAATGAGTATTCTCTTTCTTTTTATAATATGGAAAATTTCATAAGAAATCAAAGTTTAAAAATTAGACAATGCAGAACAATGAATGGTAATTAGTCAAGGTATTAAAATTTTTGAGTCAAGAACAAAAATAATTTAACAAGTCCTAAGAATGAATGGTTCCTGGTAAAATACAAGTTATTTCATTGTCCCCACTAAAAATCGACTATAGCTGCTGCTGCTGCTGCTGCTACTACCATTACTATTAAACAAATCACCTAATTTTGGTTATCTGTAAATAACCACAAGTAGTTTAAATAAAATGCTTTCCTCACAAACTTTAAAAAAATTTTGCAAACATCTGGAGTTCCTTATCTATAGTTAAAAATGTTTTGCTTCTGACTTAAACATTTGGGAACTGTTATTAAATATCATACATTCACTAGGATTAAAATAAACAGAAGAACTTTACTTTAGAATTACTTTCTAAAACTGTACCAACCATTCTGAAATGTTAGGTTTGTTTTTTTAAAAAACACATTAGGGCAATTGGCTCCAGAGTCCATCAATAGTATAATTCTCCGAATCTTCCATAGAAACCACACTGAACAGTTTAAGACACTGCATTTCCTTACAAAGGAATGTTTCCCTTTAAATTCATTTAAAATAAGAAGGTTCCAGGAATTTGGTAAGTTTAAGAAACCAAATGTAGAATTTGATTCAACAAATATTTGGAGGTTTTAGGCTTTTCAAGAAAAGTTCCCATTTTCTCATTTCTTATTAAACAACTGGGTTCCCAAACAACTACAAAATTAATTTTCTGGCTCACTGTGTTTGAGCTATTCTTTTTAAGTAAGGAAGGCCAGCTTTTTGAGCTCTGTCACTTCTCTGACAGTTTTATTTGTGGTAGAAGAGTGTATGAAATTCTCCAGCTACCAGGAAGTCAGTGACTATGCACAGATCCACACAATGGTGTTTGCATTCCTACTCCAGGGGGTAGAAATACTGTGTATATTACTCTCCCCTTTTCAGCTTCCTAGAGATCATTAATCACTGGGACATGACATCCTCCCACTCATGCTCCCAGCCCCCTCCTGATATGCAGATTTAAAAGCAAGGACTATTTAGAGATCCTTAATGCCCTGATTAAAGCCTTGTTAGTTTTATGGGAGGGAAGGCAATCTAAAATCCAGTCCTATATAAGTCACTGGACTAAACATAAATTTAATACCAAATGACATTAAGGAGTATGATAACAGTGCATGTAGACCTACAGCTGTTAAATCTTCCTGGTCAAATGAGAGTTCTTTATGTTTGGGGCTCACATATCTTTATCATGGCTGGAAAATCTACTCAAGTGAACCTTGAGATCTCCCAAAGATTTTCAGACATAAATATCTAAGTTTACTTTAACTCAATTCAGTATTTATTAATTACATGTGCTAGGCAATGCTTCAGGCAGGCATTATGAAGAAAACAGAGACAAATCCCTGCCCTTATGGAGTTTATTTTCCAGCATGGAGAGAACAGTTAAGTAAACAAAACAGGTAAGTTCACTGAACAGAAGGTAATTAAGTGGTCTGGAAGGAAAACCCAGGAGGGTAAGATAGCCCAGGATAAAGGGTTATAATGGTTAAGGCAGACGTCACAGAGATGGTGTCATTTAAGCAAAAATTTAAAGGAAGTTAGGGAGTCAGCCATGAGCCCTCTGGGAAAGAGCTTTCCAGGAAGAAGAAAGAGCAAGAGCAAAGGCCCCTGGACAGGAGCAGTGAGACATCTGAATTGCAAAGAAGTTGGTGTGGTTGAACCACCAGGCTCAGAAGAGGAGTAGGACAGAAGATCATACAGATAACAGGGGTTCAGATTGGTCTTGCAGGCTTTTATAACTTTAGTTTTTATTCTGAGTGTAGTGGGGAGCCACTGCAGGGTTTGCACCGTGATATACCCTAACTCTGGCTCCTGCTTTGTGAACAGGAGGTAGCTCTGGCTCCTGCGTTGAGAACAGGAGGTAGGACATCAAAGCTGAGGAGGACCAGTTATGGTGTTACATAATAATTCAGGTGAGTGCACAGAGGGATAACAGTGAAGTGGTCAGATTGGGATACATTTTGAAGGATTTCCTGATAGGCTAATGCAGAGTGTAAGAATCCCAGGTTCTAGCTTTAGCAAGTGGAAAGCTGGACTTACCATAAATTGAAATGGGAAACACCATAGGAGAAGCACATTTTTAGGGGAAGGTTAAGAGTTTAATTTTGAATATATTAAATTTGGGATGTCTACTAGACTTCCTAGTGGAGATATTAGTAGGAAGTTAGCTATAAGAGTCAAGTTCAGGGAGAGAGATTTGGATTAGAGATATAAACTGAGGAGTCATTAGCATGTAGATCAAGCATGTCAAACTCACGGCCCAGAGCGAGTATTTTTGCAGCCCAGCCAATATAATGGTATGTAAGAAACATTTTAATGAAAATTTCATGACTTAATTTTTACAATATCCTGTTATACATAATTTTTAATAACTAACTACAACGTTCATTAATGACTGATTACTATAATCGTGTTGCATTCATTTCCTTTACACACCTTACGTGCAGGCGCACCATTTCTCTCCACTAATACTAGCAGCGAATATTTTAGCAGTCGATTGCCACATCATTAGTCTTGAACTGACTTGTTTGGTGTGCTCAACAGGTAATATTTAGCTTTCAGAGAACAAGAAAAATAGGTTTATTTGCGTTACGCTTATTAATTTGTGCAGTTATGCAGTGTCTGGTAAGTTAATGTTCAAGAAAAAATATTAATTTTTATTAAAATGTTCTGTTATTTTATGTTACTGATAACTCATTTATTTCAGCCCTTTGTACTCAGCATGTCTCTATCGAAATAAACCTACGTTTCTATGAAAATTGAAGCTTTTGTTTTTTTGTGGCCCACATAAACTTAAACCTTGTTTATACGGCCCATGTTAGCCTTTGAGTTTGACATGCTTGGTGTAGATGGTATTTACAGATAGAAGATTGGATTGGATCAGTAAGGGAGTGAGTGTAGATTGAAAGAAAAACACACACAAATAAAAACAACAAAACCTTATGAGGACTGAGCCTGGGGCACTCTATCATCCAGAGGCTGAGTAGTAGAGGAAGAAATTACAACTAGTGAGGTAGGAGGAAAACCAAGACAGTATGGCATCCTGGAAAAAAGTATTTAAGACTGGAGTCACTCGTGACAAATGATGTGGACAGATTAAGAAGATAACTGAGAAATGTCTACTGGATTTAGCAATACAAAAGTCACCAGTGACCTCAGTAATAGCCATTGTGGTGCAATAGCAGAACTAAAGCCTGAGCAGATTGGATTCAAGAGATGATAACAGATGATTCAGCTGGTACC